GTGTCACCAATAAATAAATAAATAAAAAGACATATGTCAAAAGAGAGATGACACATGACAGTCTTTCTTGACTTGCGTTTTCAAAAACTTTAAAATATTATATATGTGATTGACTAATATAATATTATCTCTCTGGAGATATTTATATATGATTTTGGATCTTTGATGATGTTTTCTTTGGGGGTCTACGTGATGCGTTTCATCACATGTGGTCTTCAAGCAAAATGCCCCCTAATAATCACTATCCACCATCAATTTTGTTGTTCTCAATTCTAGAGCTTGCATGGTAGATTAGTAATGGAGATCGCTTCTCGTGAGATTCTATATGGATGGCTCCGGTTCATAAGTCGTTTAATGAGTATCAAAATTGCAGGACTTCCCCCTAAAAATCACCTTATATCTTCATATATAGTATTTGAGAAAATGTAGAGAACTGTTAGTTAAAATTAACTAAAAATCAGAAACGATGGGGAGAAATATGTGGTCCATCAAATTTTATTTTTCTATATTTCTAACTGATTTATAGGTATTTGTTTTAATTAAGAAGTCCAGGTCTATGCCTTAATCTTCTCTTAGTTTTTATAGACAGTTTCACGTAGTTCATTTTTTACTATTTATAGTGGAAAACATTCTTTATATAAAAATTTAGCTGATTGCTTACATATGTAAAGCATTCCATCAAAAAGAAGGAAACAAAAGAAGAAATCAGAAGTGAAAATGGCTATAACTATAAATGCAAATGGATTTATCACTTATTTGGTGATTTTTTTGATTTTGACAGGTATTATACATTATCATATATATACCAATGAATTTTTTTGAAGTTTGCATCTATTGTTTGTATTTCATATATTACGGTTTCTTTTCAATTAAATTCATAACCTTAAATTTTTTTAATTAAAACTCTTTAGCAGTTAAAAATACCAAATACAGATATAACAAAATTTCTTTGGGGCAATTATAAAAATGCCACTTTTTGTGTGCATATTTGCAAGAATGCCACTTAGGGGTGTCCATTTACAAAAAATGCCACTAATTATAGATTTATAAAGCCTATATCTTAGAATTCTAAATCCTAAAAAATATTTTGACACCTAAAACCCCCTAAACACTCAAAACTAAACCCTAATAAAACATAATTAACCCAAACATAAATAATATAAAGAAAAAATAATTTTGAAAAAGTGGCATTTTTGTAAAGATTTCAAAAGTGTGACATTTTTGTGAAGTGGCACTTGAAAAGTGGCATTTTTGAAATTTCTCAACTTCTTTTTGCTATTGGAATTTGCACATACACTTTGGGGAATTGTTTTATCAAAAAGATGTTGTGTTTTTCAAAGATTTAAATTATTGTTTAATTATATACATTTTTAAAAATAAATCAACCAAGACCCAAATAATTTGTGAATTT